TTCGGTGCCTTTTATACACTTGAATGATTCATAGGTCACTGGTACGTGGCTTAAAACTGTCAGGTACAAGGACTGGAACAAAAATGCTGAGAGACCTTCAGAAAGCCTGAAGTTCTGCTGAAGCCCACTTTAAAGAGGAATAGAATGAAACAGTCTGTTAGTACAGAGTTCACTTTAATCTATGGAAAAACAGAGTGAGTTAAATATTACCACTGAATTTATCAGCAATCTAATTTTGAGAGAAATCCTTCAGGATGTCTAAAAGATGATGACAACATGAGAGCAGCATCACAGCAGAGACATCCAGATACTCTTCTAACACAAGATTGTTTGGTCACTCGGTTACATGTGCACAGTTTGCAATGACAGTAGATGACACGTGATCTCCCTACATCACTCATGATTAAATATAACACTAAATAACAAAATGTTCCTGGTCTAGTCTTATATATGGGGACAGACACGTCACTTCCACATGCATCACATTTCTTCTTTCATTTTTTTCCAATTTAATTCAATTCAGTGGAATTCAGTTTTATTTACACAGGACCAAATCACAACAACAGTCACCTCCAGACGCTTTATGTTGTAATGTAGACCCTACAATATTACAGAGAGAAACCCAGCAAGACCAGGTTTCCTCCAGAAGGTTTGCCAATTATCTATGAAGCCCACATCGTTTCTGGGACACCACTCAGACAGCCAGCAATTTAAGGAGAACATGCGGCTAAACATGTCACTCCTGGTCTGATTGGGGAGGGGACCAGAGAAAACTACAGTCCCACATTGTTTTGGCAAAGTTGCACACCGATTCAATATTGATTTTAGTGACCTCCAACTGACGTAATGTTACTGCTACTGAATTTATGTCGCCTGCTAAGCCTACGCTACCTTCGGCTGCACCAGCTACAAGGGCCTGGCTAGCTACGGGTGTATCAAGGGTGCAAAGCCGAGTGTCCAATTCAGTAATCCTGGCCTCCAGAGCTGCAAATAGGCTACATTTATTACAAGTATCATTAATGCTAAAGAAGACCGAGGAGTAACTAAACATCTGACACAATGAGCAGGTGCAGGAGGGACAGGTGAAGAGGCCATGCTGCTAGTGATGAGCGAATCATGAACGAATCGTTCAGTACTCGAGAATCACTTTACTGACTCGTGAATCATGATTCACAAGCCCAACT